GATTCCTGATAAGACTATGCACGCTGTTCTCGATGCCTATCACACAACTTGGATGCAACATGGCCCTGCTAAGATCCTATACTCCGATGGGGAAGGAGCGCTGAATAACGATACAGCAAAGGTCATCCTTAAATCCAAGGGAACAGAGCTTCGCATCCGAGCGCGTGGCCAGCACGCCACGACTATCGAAGCTAGGAACGGCATCCTGCGACACCTCATACACGTGATGGGAGAAGAACTGAATAGATTGAACGTCCCTCTGAATTTCACTCGTCTCTTACATGAAGCCTTGTTTGCCAGCAACGCATTTACCTTCTACAACGAAGTGTCTCCGTATAATGCGCTGTATGGCAGACAACCAGCTATGCTTCCCGATTTCCCTGTCCTGGATCATGATCAGTCCGCTGAATCATCAGATCACTCAAAGGAAGAGACAATCAGGAGGGTTAGTCTGGAGGCAATCACGCAGGCCACTGCGGTTGCCAAGACGAACAGGGCTCTTCGTACGAAGACTACTGCTACGGGTGAATTTCACTACAAAGAGGGAGATCTCGTGGACTATCATCGCCCGACCACCACGAAAGACGACTGGGGTGGATGGAGTGGTCCATACCCGGTCATCCGCAACGAACCTGACCGAGGCCAGGTCATCGTGAAGGTCGGCAATCGCGAAGTGCGAGTACAGTATCCTGACTCACGACATACGCTGTACATCGAAGCACTGATGGTCCGCGAGATAGGATCGGACAATACGGCCCTTCGGACAGTATTGGCCTTTATTGCCGGTCTGCCAGCGGGGAAACCCGCTATGACTTTCGGATACCTACCAGCGAAACAGGGCCGACTGCAGATGACTGCTGCGAGCCGGCTTTCGCCTAAGGTGCACTTGGCTCTTCAATATCTCATTCGCAACTATTTTCGCATTGAAAACGTGGTTGCTGTACGACTTGCTAAGAGCCTGACTAAGTTGCCTGCTGCACCATATGCAGACAGCTGTACACTAGTGCACTATGATAACGATGTGACCCCTGGCTTTCATTATTATGAAGCTGATGGCACTGCCTTGAACATCTACGACATCACAGGGTCTATACATTCACGCATCATCCAGTGTCTTAAATCCAAGAAGCCGCTTGCTGGATTCGACCGAGACCTCATTAAGTTTGAGGAACTCGCTGATGGTTCACCACCAAGCGAGCCACCTCCAGCAGCTGCTCCTGAGCAGCCTCCTGCGGCGAATGATGGTCGGCTCCCGACCATCATAGAGGAAACAGAAGAGGATCTGGATGTCTTTGTCTTGGAGTCATGGTATGCTGAACTGATGGATGACAGAACACTCCTTGAAGCTGACACAGAAGAAGTCATGCACACAGTTCCGACATACATGACAGACTCACAGTGCGTGTTGGTCTCTACGACCTGTGAAGATGTGCAAGGCCACTTGCCGGTGCGGGGTCACCCGCCAGGATACGACATGGACACCTCTTACTACGTCCCTCTGTGCTCCACTGATCCGGACAGCCACTATGATCTGGACTCCGACGAGCACGGGAAGTACATCGAGCTTTGCTTCACAGCAGACATGTCCAAAGTCGTCCTGTCCGAGCAGCAACACCGATTGTTGGATGACAGCAGCGTCACAACTATGCGAGTATATGTTAGTGCTGCCTCCAAACGTGCCGTGGTCGTCAAAGAAGACGACCTACTCACGAAGGCCGACATTCAAGCGAATCCGGTCAAAGTTTCCAAAGCCCTTTACACAGAATTGAAGACTTGGCTTGACAACAAATGCTTCCAGATGACTGACTTGAGCAAAGCGTCGAACATCATGACTTCACGCTATGTATACAAATGGAAGTTTGTCAAGAACGAGAAGGGCGAAATGGAACGGACGATCAGGTTACGCTTGGTACTTCGTGGCTTCATGGACATTGAAGCCTTCGATGTCGAAACCTTCTCTGGCGCGGCAAGGAGGTCAAACCAGAGATTGCTCGCAAGTTCTGCTGCATGCAACAAAGCTTGGATCATCGCTTCCCTGGACATCAACATGGCTTTCTTGAAGGGACTGACCTATGGCGAGCTCGCCGCGGCAACTGGCGAGAAAGAGCGTGTGGTGTGCTTCACACTACCTCCTGGGTCAGCAGCTGTCCTTCGCACATTGCCAGGCTTTGAGTCATATGACGAATCAAAGCATTGTCTTCGGTGCCTCAAGCCGGGGACTGGCACGAAGGATGCTCCCAGGGCATTCTCGCTGAAGCTCAGGTCCATCACCAGGAGCTTTGGACTACAGCCTACTTCATACGACGAAGAGTTCGAGATGAGTTCAAACCTCTTGACAGCCAAACACGTTGATGACATCAATATGACTGGGAAGGAAGATTCCATTGACAAGTACGTCAAATGTGTTGAAGATACGTTTGGAAAGTGCAAACTGAACAAGCACACATACACAAATTGTGCCGTTCGGTACAACAAGACCGATGATGGGAGCGTCACTCTTGATCAGGACGAATACATCAAACAACTTCGTCCTATCACACATCCAGAGCTCACAGGCGCTGATCCTGAGAGCAAAGCGACAAAGACGATTTCTGATATGTTCGTCAGTCTTCGTGGCGCTCTAGCCTATGCGTTGATCACGCAGGTATGGCTGATGGTCTATGTTGTTTCACTGCAACGTATCCAGGAACCGACAAACATCCAGGTACGACGACTGAACGCGGTTACCAGGAAATTGCAGGCAGGTCCGAAGAAGATCGTGTATCAAGCTATGACTCCAACAGGAGAGGTCGACCTGCATAGCGATTCTGGCTATCGTCGTCTCAACGGAGATGAAGACGACGAAGTCAAAGGCTACGGTATCCGCGGGGCTAACCTGCTGAGGCGTGGCCACACGCAAGCGGGGAAACCCGTCGTGCACCTGGTGGACGCATACTGCAAGTCTCATCGACTGCAGGTGCGTTCGAGCTACTCTGCGGAAACACTGGCAGCAGCCCACAACTTGGAAGACTGCTACCCGACCATTGTAACGCTCCACGAGCTACACTCGGGACCATTGACCCCCACACAGTTGAAGAACATATTGGAACTGGGTGGTCTATGTATCAAAGTCACTCTGACTATTGATGCCGAGTCTGTCTTCAAGTCTTTGTCTAGCAAAGATCTGAAGAAGCCCACAGAATGCACTCTGCTTGGGCACATCAGCTGGATCCGCCAGATGATGGAGCGCGGAATCGTTGAAAGCGTCCAATGGTGTGACACGCGGGATATGACTGCCGATGGTCATACCAAAGGTAGTATTGACCGCGCGTTGCTCCTACAGGTAATGGCCGGTCAGCAATCCTTCAAGCACGAGCTGAAGAAACATACTCCGTATAGGGCGGGCAGGTCGTCTCAGGACGGCCCTGCCTCCCGAGCTAGCGGGGAAACCCGCGCGCAGGTGCGCTTTAGTAGCGAGGAAACTCGCCGGTAGCGAGGCTACTCGCGCGCCCTTGCCTTGTAGGCAGCCGCTGTTGCCTAGCACTGTTTTTTCCGCGTAATGTAGAAATTCGGTGCTTGCTCGTCTCCTCCCCCTCCAACTTTAAACGGAGAGGGTTAAAGGCGAGATGTAAATCGAGCATGCACCGCTGCCGTGCCTGGCTCAAGCCGGGCCCGGCCGAACATGTGATTGTGCCTCACCGAGGCGCACTACTCGCATCTGAGATCGGAAAAGACCTTTCTATTGAAGATTCCCCTTCTATCCTTTACTCCAGATCCCATGCTTCATCTTGCTCTCTTGCTCATGCGGTATGAGCCAAAGCCTGGGATATGGGAGCGCCTAAGGCGGAACATATATCTTGGCTTACCAGTGCGTTTTCGACTGCCTCTAAGTCGGTCTCCACGATGGTCTCCAAGACGGACGAGATGGGCGAAGGTGGCCCCCGAGGTTGCGCAAATCCCCCAATGCGCAGGGAAAGCGGTCCAAGGGAGCCTTCAGGAGGCCCGAAGAGCATAATTCATTGATTGCCCATAGGCTCGATCATGATTTTACCGTTCTCGTCACCTCGGTATTGATGATATCCTAGACGGCCCAACAGATCCCCGAGATCGCCCGAAGACGGCGCAGGAGGCCCTCAAGATAGCCCCAGACGGCCCCAAGCCTGCCCTCAGTACCCCAAGCCCTAAGAGACCCAGGGGCGACAGACGGCCTAAGAGCCCCCCAAGACGGCCCAACAGGCCCTCAGACGGCCCAGGCGGGCCCCATGTGGTTCCCAATAAGGCCGACTACGGTCATAACGTAGCCCCAAGGCAGCCTTGGGACGGCCCCAGTGGGCCCCTCCAGGAACCGATTCAAGACGCTTTGCATATTGCCTTGCGCACAGACTAGCGGCCACCAGCGCCTGGCCTTTCCACGAACGAACCATAGGCAATCCAAGAGTTGTTGCTTTCGATGCTTTCCTGCCTAAAACGGCCTCGGGAAGACTTCAGGGAGCCTCAGGGGCGCCCAGGACAAGCTCAAGCGGACCCATGACGGCCCCGAGAACCCTGCAAGACAGCCCCTGACCCCCCGCAAGAGGGCCTCGAGACGGCCCCAAGTCCCGCCCAGACAGCCTGAAGGTGGTCCAGTCCAATCGAGCCCCCTTGGGAGAGTTCGGGAGAAGCATCGCCCCCAAGACGGCCCCCAGACCCCGAACAGGCGCCCAAGAGAGCCCAAGAGACCTCGGGGAGGCTCTGGGGACCCCCCAGGGAGTTTCCACGATACGTCCCCAAGGTGTTCCCGAAGCGCACTGCAACCTCCGTGCATCGCCACGGCCCCGGCACGCCACGAGCATCGTAGAGCCGCTCCCAAGCACGAGTGGCTCAAGATTGCCAGAGGCCTCCTCCCCAGAACGTTCTCTGTGGGGCTGGGCGTGAGCCCTCGAGGCAACAGAGCCTCCTCCTCCTCCTCCTCCTCCTCCCACATCTCTCCCGTCCCCCCCTGGCATTCTCCCTCCTCTCTCTCTCTCTCTCTCCCCTCCTCGTCACGTCCTTTGTCTCATGCTTTTCGGCGGGATCGGCATCAGCTGGGGGACCCGCTTCAGTCCAAATGGGCCGGTGTTTCGGCGCGCGACGCCACGAGGGCGATTTCTGCTGCACCCGCCAGCGTTGTTTGGCAGCCAGAGCTTCGGTATCCAGGTGCCAAGCCCCTGCTCACGAGGCGTTAGTAAACGGGCCGGCAGCTAAGGGTGCGTTCTCGATGGTGTTTTCAAAAAACTGATTTGCCGCACACATGTGCGTGGTAGATCCCACCGCCCAGAGTTATGACGATGTGTCGACGTTTTTGTCGACCCGATTTATCACGCGCTAGTGCAAGGTGAATTCCCTGTCACCCCGTTCTCGCTTGGAGAGGCCCCTTAGCTGCCGCCCCGTTTACTAACGCCCCGTTTGCCCACTGGTGATCCCCACTGCTCCTTCGTTCTCCCTGCCGAACGGCTTTGCAGCCCGGCAGCGCGCGCGTGGTAGAGCCAGCGCGGCCCGCACAAGCAGGGTGAGGTCTGGAGCACGGCCGGGGCCAGCCAGCAAAAGCCGGTCCGCCGCCGAGCGGGCGGCGGGCCCCGCCGGTGGGCCCGTGGACTGACGTACCGTTTGCAGGGGCTTGGGGGTACCTCACCAGGTAATCCACTGGTGATCCCCACTGCTCCTTCGTTCTCCCTGCCGAACGGCTTTGCAGCCCGGCAGCGCGCGCGTGGTAGAGCCAGCGCGGCCCGCACAAGCAGGGTGAGGTCTGGAGCACGGCCGGGGCCAGCCAGCAAAAGCCGGTCCGCCGCCGAGCGGGCGGCGGGCCCCGCCGGTGGGCCCGTGGACTGACGTACCGTTTGCAGGGGCTTGGGGGTACCTCACCAGGTAATCCATTGGTGATCCCCACTGCTCCTTCGTTCTCCCTGCCGAACGGCTTTGCAGCCCGGCAGCGCGCGCGTGGTAGAGCCAGCGCGGCCCGCACAAGCAGGGTGAGGTCTGGAGCACGGCCGGGGCCAGCCAGCAAAAGCCGGTCCGCCGCCGAGCGGGCGGCGGGCCCCGCCGTGGGCCCCCCGTACCGTTTGCAGGGGCTTGGGGGTACCTCACCAGGTAATCCACTGGTGATCCCCACTGCTCCTTCGTTCTCCCTGCCGAACGGCTTTGCAGCCCGGCAGCGCGCGCGTGGTAGAGCCAGCGCGGCCCGCACAAGCAGGGTGAGGTCTGGAGCACGGCCGGGGCCAGCCAGCAAAAGCCGGTCCGCCGCCGAGCGGGCGGCGGGCCCCGCCGGTGGGCCCGTGGACTGACGTACCGTTTGCAGGGGCTTGGGGGTACCTCACCAGGTAATCCACTGGTGATCCCCACTGCTCCTTCGTTCTCCCTGCCGAACGGCTTTGCAGCCCGGCAGCGCGCGCGTGGTAGAGGTAGAGCCAGCGCGGCCCGCACAAGCAGGGTGAGGTCTGGAGCACGGCCGGGGCCAGCCAGCAAAAGCCGGTCCGCCGCCGAGCGGGCGGCGGGCCCCGCCGGTGGGCCCGTGGACTGACGTACCGTTTGCAGGGGCTTGGGGTACCTCACCAGGTAATCCACTGGTGATCCCCACTGCTCCTTCGTTCTCCCTGCCGAACGGCTTTGCAGCCCGGCAGCGCGCGCGTGGTAGAGGTAGAGCCAGCGCGGCCCGCACAAGCAGGGTGAGGCCTGGAGCACGGCCGGGGCCAGCCAGCAAAAGCCGGTCCGCCGCCGAGCGGGCGGCGGGCCCCGCCGGTGGGCCCGTGGCGTGCGGTATCGAAGCGGCATCTTTTCGGGTGACGGAGTCTATCCTCAGAGAAGGGGAGGGTACCCATACCTCTACCCCTCCCTCGTCCTCGCTTTTTTGGGCCTCGTGGGAGGCCCTCGTTCGTCGCCACCGCTGGATTCGCTTCGAAATCTTGGTCAGAACACACCCCGGGACAGGCCTGGGGAGTAGCGGTATCGGTACCTGTTGGTTTCCCCAATTGCGCGCGGTATCGAAGCGATCTCTTGTTGGGTGACGGAATCTATACACCGCACTCACATCTATACCCCTGGGTGGGTGTATGTGCGGCCGTTTTTGCGCTGTCATGTGCGCGCATGTGCGCGGCATGTGCCAGTCATGTGCCAGGCCTGTGCGGTCCTTCTTGGATGGACTTCCTACTGTGCACGTCGTGCCCGGGCATGTGCGGGGGCATGTGCGCTGTGTTTTGATGTATCCATCATACGCACATGCACGCACAGACCGACGCACATGCGCGCACATGCCTGCACATGCGGGAGGTGTTCGAAAATCGCAGATCTGTCATCGGCACATGCACGCACATGCCTGTGCAACCTCTCTTCGGGAGGCCGCGCGGGCCCGCACATGCACGCACATGCGGTGAAGCGCGCGGGCGCACATGCGTGCACATCCCAATGCACATGCACGCTCATGCCCTAGGAGCTGTCTGGGACCCCTGTGCCTCCAATGCCTCCTGGCCTTCGCAGAGCTAACCTGGGGCGTGCCAGGGTTTCCTGAAAGAGTTTGTTGTGCGTTTAGACTCGCCCGCTGCTGGCGGGGGCGGTTATTCGCCCGGTTCGTGAGCTGGCGGTGGCGCGCCCGCCTAATAAAATACTCTCCCGCGCGCCTTCTCAGCTCGGCCGGAGAAGCAGGGATGGGGGGGGGGAGGTGGAGGGGGGGGGAGGAGGGGGGGGCGGAGGAGGCGGGCGCCCCCGGCCACTGGCCAGCCTGCCTGTTCGGCTCGGCCAGAGGAGAAGGAGGAGGAGGAGGAGGAGGAGGAGGAGGAGGAGGAGGAGGAGGAGGAGGAGGTGAGAGTTGCGAGGCTGTCTCAGGCGAAAGTGGCTTGACGGCCCGAGCTCAGGGAATCTCGGAATCGCTGGCCTGGCTCGGCCACCGGCGAGCTCGGCCTGTGCGAATACTGTGCGTACCTGTGCAGTGCATGTGCGGGACGTGCAAGAATGCCGGGGCCGGCGTTCGTCTCCGGACGCCGGCGCGTTCGCGTCCGGCCAGTTCCGCGTGAGACGTCGTCGGCAATTTGGAGGCCGACGTGCTTTGACATGAAGTGATTTGGCCACCTTCGCCTGAGACATCCTCGCAACTCTGGTCTCGGAGATGCCCTGCCCCATGGTGGCCCGGCCACTTTCGCTTGAGACATCCTCGGGACTCTGGGTTTCGAGACGCCCTGAGCTGAGGTGGTTAGACCACTTTCGCATGAGACATCCTCGCAACTCTGACCTCAGAGATCTCCTGCCCCATGCTGGTCAGGCCACGGTCGCCTGAGACATCCTCGCAAGTCTCGATTCCGATATGCCCCGAGCTGAGGTGGTCAGCCACTGTCGCCTGAGACATCCTCGCAACCCTGATCTCAATGATGCCCTGCTCGATAGTGTCTCGGCCCCTTTCGCCTGAGACATCCTCGGAACTCTGGGTTCCGAGACGCCCTGAGTTGAGGTGGTTAGACCACTTTCGCTTTAGACATCCTCGCCCGAGATGCCCTGAGTTGAGCTGTTCAGGCCACTTTTGCCTGAGACATCCTCGCAACTCTGACCTCAATGATGCCCTGCTCCATAGTGTCTCGGCCTTTTTCGCCTGAGACCCTCGCAACTCTGGGTTCTGAGATGCCCTGAGCAGGTGGTCAGGCCAGTCCTGCCTGAGACATCCTCGCAACTCTGGGCTCCGAGATGCCCTGGGCTGAGGTGGTCAGACCACTCTCCCCAGAGACATCCTCGCAACTCTGACCTCAGAGATCTCTTGCCCCATGGTGGTCAGGCCACTTTCGCTTGAGACATCCTCACAACTCAGACCTCGGAGGTGTCCTGCCCCATGGTCGTCTGGTCACCTTGACCAGCGACATCCTCGCCACTCTGGTTTCCAAGATGCCCTGCCCCATGGTGATCCGGCCACGCTTGCCTGAGACATCCTCGGAACTCTGGGTTGCGAAATGCCCCGAGCTCAGGTGGTCAGGCCACTATCGCCTGCGACATCTCTGCGGCATGTGCGGGCATGTGCGTCTATGCTTTCAGAGTTTTGCTTGACCGTGCATTCGACTGTGCGTCGGACGGTGTGGCATGTGCGCGCATGTGCGGCAATGCTGTTGAGGCTTTTGTATATTTGCATGGGCATGTGCATGCGACTGTGCGGCATGTGCCTGCATGTGCGGCCCCTTCCGGACCGCAATTTCAAAGTGAACACTATAGAAGTGAGCGCTATAGAAGTGAGTCCGGTGTACACTTGAGTAGCTCCAGCCTCCTTCCCGGAGGCGGTCCGCGTTCCTCGCCGAGGGCAATGCTTTAGACAAGGCAGTCACTGTCATGTGGGACTTGTTAATTAGCCACGAGCTCATTCAGTTTGATTTCAGTTATCACGTTGAGTATTTGTCATATCGATGCATTTTCCAGAGACTGAGTCATATGTTATTGAATCGCTTCGCTCATTCCGCCGGCCCGTGATATGGCATCGCTGGTTTTTGTCTGTGTGTTCGTTGCCCATGTTGCGCTCTTGGGGGCGGGTGTCGTTCGGACGCGTTGCGTGGGGAGTTTTGATGGTGAAGCAGTTCCCTGGGGGTCGTCTCTCGATGGGGCGAAATAGAGTCGTCGTCAAGATGCTTCTTTGGGGGGCCTCTTGGGGTCTGTTGAGAGGCCGTTCGGGGGCGCCTGGGAGACATGTTTGAAGCCTTCTGGGGCTTCTTTTGGGCCTCCTGGGAGTCTCCTGGGGCCTCTTGGCGACATCTTGGGGCCTCTTGGAGGCCTCTTGGGGCCTCTTTGGGACCTCCTGGGCGCCTTCTGGGACGGAGGGCTCCATTTTTGAGTTCTCGGTATCCCTCCTGAGTCCCTCTTGGGCCCGTCTTGGGGCCTCTTGGTCCGTCTTGGGCGGCACTTGGGCCGTCTTGGAACTAGAAATACTGTTAATACTGTTAACCAGTTACCGGAGATCTTAGCACGCCCTGGCCCGTTGGGCCGGCGAATTGCATGGGCGACTCGATGAGGGAAGCGTCACGGTAAAAACGAATCCATACATATCCACCGCCCCCTGACCGGGCCCTTCCTGGGCCCGCGAGCTGGGTGCTCGGCCTCCTGGCCAATCCAGGAGGGCGTGGTGTGTACACCGCTGTTGCGTTCAGGATGGGCTTGGCCAGGGAGCAGTGGATATGTATAGATTTCGTCGCCCTATCTTTTGTCCGTCGGCGAGCCCAAAGGGGTTTCGTCGGTCGTGTTCAGATGTTCTCATTGGTTCTCCGCGGTTTTCCGGCCTCGGGATGCGTTCCAGCGGCTTCGCCTCGCCGAGGGCGTTCCGGGTGTGCCCGGTTCCTCCCGAACGGCCACGGGAGAGCCAAGGTATGACACAGAAACCACAGGCGTCCGAGAGGGGGCAAGCCATCTCAGAAGACGGCGGGGCTTCTCAGAAGCGCTCGCGCCTCTGCGATGCCGTCTGTGTCTTCTCAGAAGGCTTCTCGGAAGGCTGAAGGCCTTTTGAGCCTTCTGAGAAGCCCTGCCCCCTCTGCCTTCCCAGCCGCCAATGTATCGACTTATGATCAGAGGCGGCCTCGTTGTCGAGTGGCGGCGCATTCGGAGTGATTCACGTCTGGATTTGGCAATGGGGCCAGTGAGTTTTACAGGGGAAAGCGGTCCGCGTGCCGTCCTGAAGGATGCTCCTCGCATTTCCATGTGGGGCCTTCTGGTGATCAAGAGGCGCCCAAGACGGATCAAGAGCTGGGCCACCGAACATCGCAATTCTTTACGCTTCTCGTATCCCCACCAGCCCATCTCACAACAGCAACTCATGCGAAGCATGCCGACAGTCGTGTTTTTCAGGCGTGTGTCCGTTTGGCCCCGCATATCTCCCCTGTTCCTCCTTCCTCCCGCCTCCTTGTACATCCTCCTTGTGGGGGGAGCGGGAGAAGGACGAGGCGGAGGAGGAGGGAGAGAAAGCGCTCCTCGTGATTGAGTCGTTTGGGGTTTCTCGTCCTGGTGTGAGTCGTTCGGGCCCTTCTTCCTGGTGTGAGTCGTTCGGGCTCTTCGTGGTGTGAGTCGTTCGGGCTCTTCGTCCTGGTGTGAGTCGTTCGGGCTTCTCGTGGTGTGAGTTGTTCGGGCCCCTCCTCCTGGTGTGACTCGTTCGGGCTCCTCGTGGTGTGAGTCGTTCGGGGCCCGCGTCGTGGTGTGAGTCGTTCGGGCGCGTCGTGGTGCCTCCTGGGGATCTCTTGTGGCCCATCTGGGGACCTCTTGGGGCCATATGGTGGACCTCTGGGGGCCCTCTTGGGGGGCTTGTATGAGCGCTGCCCCTCCTCCTGGTGTGACTCGTTCGGGCTCCTCGTGGTGTGAGTCGTTCGAGGCCCGCGTCGTGGTGTGAGTCGCTCGGGCTCCTCGTGGTGTGAATGGGTCGGGCGCCTCGTCCTGGTGTGAGTCGTTCGGGGTCCTCCTTCTGGCGTGAGTCGTTCGGGTTCTTCGTGGTATGAGTCGTTCGGGCCCCTCGTCCTGGTGTGAGTCGTTCGGGCTCCTCGTGGGGCCTCTTGGCGGCCTCTTGGAGCCTCTTGGGGCCTCTTGGGGGCCTCTTGGGGGCCTCTTGGGGGCCTCTTGGGGGCCTCCTGGGGCCTCTGGGGGCCTCTTGGGGGCCTCTTGGGGGCCTCTTGGGGGCCTCTTGGGGCCTCTTGGGGGCCTCTTGGGGGCCTCTTGGAGGCCTCTTGGGAGGCTCCTGGGGGCCTCTTGGGGCCATCTTGGGGCCTCTTGCGACCTCCTCAGAAGCGCCACGAAGCGCTGCCCCCTGAGAAAGACAAAATGAGCCCAAAACCCTCGTAAAATCAATGATTTTGCTAGGAAGGAAGATGAGCGCGGCCCCCTCGGGAGGCCAACATGGGGCCAAAACCCTTGTAAAAGCAATGATTTTGGCTTCACAGAAGAGGAGGGGACTACAAGAGTGCCCCCCCGTCGGGGCCAGAATCCTCGTGAGTGTCGTCGTTTTTTGGCCCTCCCAGGCGTCGAAAAAGACCCCCCTGACCACCCGCGGGACGACCTCTCCAGGCCCAGGGGTAGGGGGTAGGGGGAGGGGTAAACCCCTCCCCGAAGGGGAAGAAGGGGGGTTGGGGGGTTGAGGACAGAGAGAGCTCTCTAAATCACTCACGCCCAAAGGGCTGGTGGGATTCAGCGTCGGGCTACCCGGGGACCCGTTCTCAGCGGAACCGAGGTCGGGCCCGCCGCCCCGCTGCGAGTGGACTCGGTGGCCTGCTCCTTCGTCCTCCCGGCCGACCTGCCCCCGCAGCCCGGCAGCGCGCGCGTAGTAGAGCCAGTGCGGCCCGCACAAGCAGGGCGAGGCCTGGAGCACGGCCGGGGCCAGCCAGCAAAAGCCGGTCCGCCGCCGACCCGGCGGCGGCGCCCAAGACGGATCAAGAGGGCTCCAAGAGGTCGTTGGGATATCGCCAGATTGCTCCAGGGGGTTCGGGATTGCTGAAGATTAGCGGGCGAAGAACGGTATTTGATAGACTTTTCCGTCGTCGGGGGCGCCTGTCCCTGGGCGGCTGGAAAGTTTATACCCCTACGCGGCACCGTGGGGGTATAAACTTTGCAGCCGCCCAGGGGGGCAGGCGTCCCCCTCCGACGGCGAAAAAGTTTATCTTATACCGTTCTTCGCCCCCTGAGAAGAGACGGTGGAGGTGTGCCGAGAGCGTCTCGGATGCGCCAGGGCCTCCAAGAGAGGGAGAGGCCGCAGGCAACTAACCATCAACGATGAGTATGCTTACACATTGCGCTTTTGTCAAACACATGCTCGGCCTTCCGGTACGTGATGCCTCCAACTTGGTTTTCCGATGGACCCAAGACGGCCCCAAAAGGGTTTCAGCAACTCACGAAAGAGGCCCACGAGGGGTCGCTGGGCCTTCAAGACGGCTCCGAGGCGGTTACCGGATGCGTCCACGCCAGCCCAAGAGGGCCCGAAAATTAGGTAGGACGGCGCCAAGGCAAAGAGGGTTCCTAGAGAGGCTCAAGACGTGCCACGACGTCCCAGTTGGTCTCTGGGAGCGCCCGCGAGGCGGTGGCCCATACAGAGTGTCACAGTGTTCCCGGATGCCCCAGGCGTGCCCAGCAGGCGCCAAGAGGAGCGGAAGCAGCGCACTAGCCCCGATTGGGCTGTTCGGGCTTCGTGGGGTATTCAGACGCGGCGCGCTCATCTCCCTCTTTCAGGCCACGGCTCACTGCATGAGCTTACCTATTGCAGGTCGGCTCGCGTCGGAAACCTGGTTTACCTGGCAACATTTTGATTCGCACTGCTCTCCGCAGGGTTTTGGGTCGAGTGCCCGCGACATCTGCGCCTCGCGCGTGAGCGAATTCAGTGCATCGGTTGAAGCTGGCGGTGCTTCGAGTCAACCCGCTGCTATCTGAGCGCAGCCTCACCGTAACTCTCATGCGAAAGCGTGCATAACTCATCGATTAGGGTTTGACCAGAGACGCAGTCTCTTCCATGAGTTGATGTGCTGGTCCTACGAAGTCTCCTTAGCTGTGGCAGGGGCAGAGTCTCTCTGCTTGCTCGTTCTGTGTATGCGCAGATCTCAAACCGACAGGCGGAATGCGTTGATGGTGCTACCGCTCGTTCTGCAGGAATGGTGCCAAGTCGTGCTGTGGGTGCACATCGGGTCGTCACCGACACAGTGCGACAACACAAATCGTATGTGGTCAGGTTTCGTCACCTACGTAATTTGCAGTGTGCCAGCTTGGTTTAGCTTGCAGCCGCTGCTCCTGTGTTATCCAGAAGGACTGCGCCCTCTGCCGTCGGCCCTCTCTATCAGAATGGCAGATATCAGAGCCGTGTCTGGTCGTTGACGCCGTCTTGAAGACATTTGGGACCATGCGGGGACGGATAGGACTCAGCAGCACATATTGAGATGTTTTTATTGAGCGCTTCTTTTTTGGGGAGCGCTCCCCGCGCGACTGACCTAAATTAGACGGGAATCTCGCCTCGGCAGTGTGAATCTGGCTTAATTTGCAGAGGATTCTGTGGGTCAGCTGACCCGGTGACCCGGTGACCCGGTGGGGTGGGTCAGCTGACCCGGTGACCCGGTGACCCGGTGACCCGGTGACCTGGTGACCCGGTGACCCGGTGGGGTGGGTCAGCTGACCCGGTGACCCGGTGACCCGGTGACCCGGTGGGGTGGGTCAGCTGACCCGGTGACCCTGTGACCCGGTGGGGTGGGTCAGCTGACCCGGTGACCCAGTGACCCGGTGACCCGGTGGAGTGGGTCAGCTGACCCGGTGACCCAGTGACCCGGTGACCCGGTGGGGTGGGTCAACTGACCCGGTGACCCGGTGACCCGGCGGGGTGGGTCAGCTGACCCGGTGACCCGGTGACCCGGTGACCCGGTGACCCAGTGGGGTGGGTCAGCTGACCCGGTGACCCGGTGACCCGGTGACCCGGTGGGGTGGGTCAGCTGACCCGGCTCCACCGGGTCACCGGGTCACCAGGTCACCGGGTCACACCGGGTCAGACCCACCCCAGCGGGTCACCGGGTCACCGGGTCACCGGGTCAGCTGACCCACCCCACCGGGTCACCGGGTTTTCACCGGGTCACCGGAGGGGATCAGCTGACCCACTCCACCGGGTCACCGGGTCACCGGGTCACCGGGTCACCGGGTCAGCTGACCCACCCACCGGGTCACGGGTCACCGGGTCACCGGTCAGCTCAACACCGGGTCAGCTGACCCACCCACCGGGTCACCGGGTCACCGGGTCACCGGGTCAGCTGACCCACCCACCGGGTCACCGGGTCACCGTCACCGGGTCAGCTGACCCACCCCACCGGGTCACCGGGTCACCGGGTCACCGGGTCAGCTGACCCACCACCACCGGGTCACCGGGTCACCGGGTCACCGGGTCAGCTGACCCCACACCCACCGGGTCACCGGGTCACCGGGTCACCGGGTCAGCTGACCCAGGTCACCGGGTCACCGGGTCACCGTGGTCACCCATGACCCATCCCACCGGGTCACCGGGTCACTGGGTCAGCTGAGCCAGCCCACCTGACCCACTCCACCCACCGGGTCACCGGGTCACCGGGTCAGCTGACCCACCGGGTCACCGGGTCACCGGGTCACCGGGCTCACCGGGTCAACCGGGTCACCCTGACCCACCCACCGGCACCGGTCACCCACCGGTCAGCTGACCCACCCCACCGGGTCACCGGGTCACCGGGTCACTGGGTCACCGGGTCACTGGGTCAGCTGACCCACCCCACCGGGTCACCGGGTCACCGGGTCGGTCACCGGGTCAGCTGACCCACCCCACCGGGTCACAGGGTCACCGGGTCACCGGGTCAGCAGACCCACCCCACCGGGTCACCGGGTCACCGGGTCACCGGGTCAGCTGACCCACCCCACCGGGTCACCGGGTCAATTCCGGGTCACCGGGTCACCGGGTCACCGGGTCACCGGGTCAGCTGACCCAGCCCACCGGGTCACCGGGTCACCGGGTCACCGGGTCACAGGGTCACCGGCCACCGACCCAATTAAAAAAAAAAACTTTTAGTTCGCACGCACTCGGGGTCCCACCCTCGACCTTCCTGGACAAAGCTGTGCAAATCGCTGACAATGAGCACCGTGCCCGGAAAGAGTTGCACGGCGCGGAGGCCCGCCACTCGCTCTGCTCTGCCTACGGACTGCAAGCCCCCCGGAAGGCTTCCATATGCGGCTTTAGTGGGCACACCGTGGATATTCACTTGCACGCAGCTCCAGCCGCAGCGAGTGCCCTCGGGAGCTCGGTTCCCGAACCCCGAACCGTCAGTGCAGACGACGCCTCCCCATCCCGCCCGAATAGACGACCAATCCCCCCAATACTAAATTGGCAGAGAATCAGGGACGGGAGCGGGCAGGCTGGGCTCGACAGGAAGACCTGTCGTGATACCAAATCTGTCCCAGCACGCACCGAATCCCGAAAAACCCTTGTCTCTCCAGAACTCGCGCGTGGTCAGAGCAGCCTCGGAAAAAGGGGGTTCCTCCTCCTCCTCCTCCTCCTCCTCCTCCTCCTCCTCCTCCTCCTGACAAGCGAGGAGGGGAGCACAATCAAAATGCTCGTGCCCTGGAGTACCCTGCGGAGCACCGCAGGCCAGGCACGCGGGAGAGGCGACCAGCCCATGGCGATGTTGCCGTTCTTTGGGCCAACACGCTCCTGACCAGAGCGTTCGCAGCCCGCCAGCCGCCACGCGACGGACCCCTCCTTTGCTCCAAAGGCAGGCCCTCAAGCATCGGTGCCACAAGCGGAGACCCCCTGGATTGTGGTCAGAATGGTGCTCGAGAATGCGCCGATGCTGCCAGCGCTCAATACCTGCTATCAAATACTGCTTAAAATCTCTAGGAGGGGTGGTGAGCAACGAATGCGCAGTCCCCAGATCATCCCGGACAAGAGTGGAGGAGACCATGGACCACCCGACTCTTGAGAGTGAGAAAAGCATTGGAGAGCAGACTCCGGACCCCTCGCCACGCAGGTCTGGCCAGCAGGCGAGGCTCCAAAAGTCGCCAAGCCCTTTCCCACTTACCGAGGGGGACGGACTGGTCCCAAATAACACGCACATATTGCATGACGGGCTCAAGCGTGCAATGATACATATATATATACATACATATATATATATATATATATATATATATATAAACATATGAACATATATAAATATACATATATATATAATAGGATCGTAAAAATGATCTTTCTGGGTGGCCAAAAACAAAGTGATGCTGCTGCTGCCCCCCCTTGCTCCTACCGGGGAGGCGGCCTTGTGCCGGAGCTCGCGCAGCCGTGCATCTGGGATCCCAGAGACGGCCGCCCCATGAGCGGCCGAACTGAGAAGGCCACTCCTCCACAAGCCGGCAACCTTCGAACCGACGGCGTTCCGCAGAGAAACCACTCTGTGCCAGCGCTGTCGAAGTCTCCCAAACCGGACCCCCTCCCACTGGCGCCTCCGACCCGTCCCAGGAAGCTCATGTCCAAGGTTGCGCATATGCCGCCGATTTTTGACCTTGAGCGCAGGCGCACCCAAGCTTAACCCTTTGGCCGCCTGGAGCGTTGCAGAGACAAATCCGCTCTTGGCGGGCTGGAGGAGAAAACCGAGGGGCTTCACCTCCTCGCAAAACACACGAGCAGCCTGGAGCAATGTGCGTGCCTCTTCGGCTCGCTGGCCCAGCCAGTGGAGACTGACGTCGTCGATGAAGGACCTCGGGATGACCGAATCCGAGGTCAACTTGACACGATGCAGCACACGGTACGTCAGCACTGCAACCGACGTCGTGGCATGCGTGCACCCCGCCAGCACTCCCTGCCAGGGGCGGTAGGTC